AAACAGCTGATCGGCTCAGCGCGGCAGCCATGTAAATTTAAATGAAGCGGCGATTATTTAAATCGTCGCTTCATTTTCCTATGCCTGGTAGCTTAATATACATGCCTCTGGCGACAGAGGCATGTAGTCTAGATGTGCCCCAAAACACCCACTCTCTTAACAGGAGGAGCCCTGAAGGCCTCCCCTGCAACAAGGGGAGCCCTCACCTGCTGGCCCAAACCAAATGAGGCCAAGCTGCCTGTCCATCCCTAGCACTGGACCTCCCTCTCCTGGTCATAGGCCAAGCCATCAGCCCTGCAGCTTGCCCCCCTTTGTCTGAGCCAGTGCCTCCCACCTGCACTGTGCTGGGTGCGCTGCTAGCCTCCCTGAAGCCCCCTCCCACCCAGACAAACTTCCCCAAATGCCAGGCTGGTCTCTTGAGCATCATCCCTCCCAGCAACCCTGGACAAGCTGCCTCACTTCCCTGCCAGATGCCCTCCGGCCATCCATCCAATGGCTTGCCATGTCTTAGTTCTCACTCTCCTTCCCAAGAGTAGGTAGGAGGCTGTGAAAACCCCCAGAAAGGTGGTGGTGATGGTGGAGTGGCTGAACCACTGCAGTCCAGGAATCCAATGGCAGGTGGGCAGCAGGGAAGGCTGAGCCTTACTATGCCTATATACTACCATCTGTCCATGAATATAGCCGTTCCCTCGGCACACTCAGCTACACGGCCACTAGCAGCAGTATCACGGAGAACAAAAATCCAAAAGAATGCAAGAGAACTGACTACTTGGACTCGTGGGTGGTAAATATTATAGACTTGGGCAAGCCAACTGTCTGCCATGGCTCCGCCCTGGCTCCCTCCTGAATTTCCCAGCACACAGCCCTAGTTAAGGCTGGCTGATGTACTGTGGGGACTGAGGGCAGTAAACACTAGGGCTGTGCTGTCTGTCATTAGCCCCAAAGTTGCAAAATGTTTTAATAGTTCAGAGGAACAAGGAAGTGAGGTCACATCTTTTACTGGACCAATTTCTATTGGTGAACAAGAGTTGCTTCTGAGCTTATAGACAGGGCACTCCCTAGCAATGCTGGTGCTGTAAGCAACCCAGCACCTGCATCCCTCCTCAGAATGGAGGGGGAGAGGGCAGGGAGGAGTTCTGCAGGGGGGCAGAAGCTGAGGGGTACAGGAGCACTGCAAGGCGGCTCACCTGAAGCCTCTGGGGAGCGAATGAAAGGCTCCAGGCACAGCCGCTTGCTGCTCCTGTTGAGTCCTCCGGCCCTTGCTGCTTGTCACCGCCCGGTGAGTGGGATGAGGGGCTGGTCCCTGGATCTGATATGCAGCCTACTGCTGCATATTTCATGAATTTGGAGGGATGGGCCTGCTCACAGAGCACTAAAGTTTATCTATTTCACTAACAAGAGTTGGTTAAATAAAAGATATTACCTCAACATCTTGTCTCTACAGTATCCTGGGCTCAAGAAAGTTACAATATTGCAAAAAATAATTCAGTTTTTCATAACAGGTAATATAATTTTATTACATGAGAAGTATTAATGTAAACATTCTTTTTAAAAACTTCTACACCTTACTAGAGGCACCTGTTTAGTACAGCAAATACATATAGCACTTTACTTAGAAAGTAAGCATACTTACTAAAGCCAAACTGGGAGCCTAAGAAAAGAACAAACCCATATATTGCTCTTTCAGGCAATGGGGCTGGAGAGTTTTCGACCATGCTAGTGTCTTCTTTTTAACTGAGAAAAAGAAATTAATTACAAGAAGCTGTCAGCAACACATCATCTTTTTTTAAAACAGGTTTCCAAGATATTGAGAAGCCCATGAATATGCTATCCTCTCACTTTCATCTTCTTTGTGGCTATCGGGAAAGGGACTTAAATTAAATAGCTTTGTTCCCAGTGCAACGTGAGCGCTAGCATACTCCAGGGCCACGTGTTGCCACGGCTCCTGACAAAGGAGCCTGCTTTTTAACTAGATTTGCAAATTCCTGGCATGGTGACACCAGGAGGGCTTGCGAAAACCAGTATTTCCCATTCCTTTTAGCACTGACCTCACTGGTGGGCACAGCCTGCCCCTGTGGGGAAAAAGAACCATGCAAGGCCTTGTAGCAGAACTAGGCACCCAAAAGGTGGCTTGCTCCACTTTGGGGCAGTGTTGGCAGAGTGCAGCCTGTGGGTGGGTGCCAAGCCCTAGTGCTTTCCAGAGCACCTGCCACCGCCCTCACCGTAAATGCAGAGATGGGTGAACTAGGCAAGGCCTGGGGAAAATCCAACCACAAAGCAACTCTCTTCCCACTGGGGCAGAGCAGCAGCGGTGCTGTACAAAGCGTTGGGGGGTGGGGACCCTTTTTCGGGACAGGGCCTGCTGACCCAAAGAAAAATCAGTCAAGGATGTGCTTTCCAGAGCACCTGCCACCGCCCTCACCGTAAATGCAGAGATGGGTGAACTAGGCAAGGCCTGGGGAAAATCCAACCACAAAGCAACTCTCTTCCCACTGGGGCAGAGCAGCAGCGGTGCTGTACAAAGCGTTGGGGGGTGGGGACCCTTTTTCGGGACAGGGCCTGCTGACCCAAAGAAAAATCAGTCAAGGATAATCTGCACACAAGTGAGAAGCATCCCCCCCCCCCCACACACACACACGC